TTTAAATTTTACGCAATATAACTTTATAATAAAATTTTTTAATAAAAATTTTAAATCGTTATAATATCTTAATAAAAGTTTTTATCGTTATATATCGATATAATATAATTTGTGCTGGATTATAAGATCTCAGATTTTAAACAGCGATTACGTAACTGATTTTGGTGGTCATGCTAGGGGGGTTCCTTACTGGTTTGTATTACAGGCACAAATAATTTAAATCGGATTAATTCTCCGAATTCTAATATAAATAGCACGCAATAAAAATGTTTATTGCACTCGCAAAATGGGGATAGAATTACCTAACGAATGCTTTTTGGAAATATTAAAATACCTTGATCGTAAATGCCTATTTTCGTGCCTTCTTGTAAACCGTCAATGGTGTAGATATGTTGTACCGATATTGTGGAGCAGAATAGATATGTTATATAAAAGCTTTATAAGAATATGTTTGTTACTGTTAAACACTGAGGAACAAGCTTTTTTAATTCCATTTAATATAATACTTCCGAATGATCCAAAACCATTATTTGAATATACAAAATATATTACATACTTGCATATAAATACACATAATTTATTTTACGAAATCGGTGAATTTTTTAACAAATTTGAAGAAAATGGAATGGACATGCTTAAAACGATCAGTTATTTGTTGATCTCAATGCTTTTACGAACTGGTGATAGAGTTAAATGTGCTGAAATTACAGAAGAACGGCTAAGTGGTTGCTTTTTTACTCCCAAAAAGAGGCTTTATTTGAATTTTATTAAAGATACACGTAAATTTTTGATAAATTTATTATTAGAAAATCTTTATAAAAACCCAAACCTGGCATCTTTATCTTTAAATATTAACATTTCATCTGAAGCAGCAATTTCATTAGCAAGTGCCCTTTGCAAGAATACTACTTTAACTAGTTTAAAGCTCAGCGACTATATACTGCGCTATGAAAATTTGGTACCATTGATACTAGCTCTCTGTAAAAACACTACTTTAACTTGCTTAGAAATTGTAAGTTATCGGCTTGATTCTAGAGGAGGAGAAGCATTAACTGATGTTCTTTGCAAAAATTCTACTCTGACTACTTTAATAGTAAGTGATAATGAGCTTGGTCCTGAAGGAGGAAAAGCTTTAGCGAAGGCTCTTTTCAAGAACACATCTCTCACTTCCTTGAGTATCTGTGACAACCAGATTGACTTTGAAGGAGGAAAAATTTTAGCTGATGCTCTTTACGAAAATAATACTTTGACTTCATTAGATATTAGTCTTAATAATATCGGTGATGAAGGTGCTAAAGCTTTAGCTTATGCTCTTTTCCAAAATAATACATTGGTTTCTTTAAATATTAGTGATAATAAGATCGGTGATGAAGGAGGAAAAGCATTATCTGATGTTCTCTGCAAAAATACTACTTTAACTTCTTTAAATATTAGTTGTAATCCGATCGGTGATGAAGGAGGAAAAGCTTTAGCTGATGCCCTTTACAGAAATAATACTTTGACTACTTTAGATATTGGTTATACTAATATCGGTGTTGAAGGTGGAAATGCTTTAGCTGATGTCCTTTGTAAGAATAATAGGATCTCCTATGGGCCATATATAAAGATTATACAGTATTAGTTTAATTTTTGAAGTAAAAAGCGTTTATTAAGGCTTTTGAAGAATAACTTTAGATATTGTAACCGTAATAGTAGATGTTTTTGTAAAAATATTTCTTTTTGAATATGAAAAATATTATTATATTTTTATTCTAAATACATGCTATTATCTATTTTTTTTTTAGTTTCACATTTTGTTAATTAATCTGACTTCACAGGCGCAGTATTAACTAATAAAAATTTAAAGATAAATTGGTTCCTTGTTTAAAATTTGCTATTTTTTATACCAATAAACTGAAATAATTCCATCTTTCAAAATACCAAATATATGTTTTTTTATTACACAATATAAGTCTAATTTAGAAAATGCGATTTTTTTATATTAAATACAAATGCAAAGCCTATTGAAATGCAAGATTTTACGAAAGTTTGTTATTACCTTTTAAAGCATCATAAAATCAACAGGCGAATATAGTATATCGAGTAATGTGTTTAGACTAAAATCTTGTAAGAAACTTCTTTTTGTTGAAACAAAAAGCCCACTTTTTGAATAATATTTTTAAGATTTGATTTTTTACACGGCTGAAATCTGTGCAAAATAAAGATCAACATGAACAGATGACGGACCTACTGTACATTGGCCAATCAAATCTGTTGCACAAGTTTGAATATTATATTTTTGTTATTAAATTAACATATTTTTTTAATTTTCTAATTAACTTTAAACCTACATATCATATAGTATTAAGTAGAAATTGAATTTCTTAACAATCAAATCTATTTAAATTCCATTACAACTTATGTCGATCTAATCTCAATATAAGCATAACAAAAATGAGATATATATAAATCTTAAAAAGAATTATCCAATCAGTGACATAGAATGCGAAAATATATTTCACGTGCGTACATGCAAAGTTTATTATTGAATAATCCTTTCTGGTTTGTATTACACGTACAAATAATTTAAATCGGATTTATTCTCCGAATTCTAATAAATAGCACGCAATAAAAATTTTTTATTCACACGCAAAAATGGGGATAGCATTACCCAGTGAATGCATTTTGGAAATATTAAAATACCTTGATCGTGAATGCCTATTTTCATGTCTTTTTGTAAACCGTCAATGGTGTAGATATGTTGTGCCAATATTGTGGAGCAGAATAGATAGGTTATCAATTAATAAAAACTTTATAAGAACATGTTTGTTACTGTTAAACACTGAAGAACAAGCTTTTTTAATTCCGTTTAATATAATGCTCCCGAATGATCCAAAACCATTATTTGAGTATACAAAATATATTACATACTTACATATAGATACATATAAATTATTTGGCAAAATCATTGAATTTTTCAACAAATTTTGGGAAAATGGAATAAATGTGCTTGGAACAATTAACTGTCTGTTGATTTCAATGCTTTTACGAACCGGCGATAGAATTAAATGTATTGAAGTTAGAGAATGTTGGCCCTGCGATTCCTTTTATAGTAAGGTGTTAGGAGAAACTCGTAGACTTATAATAAAATTATTATCAGAAAATCTTTATAAAACCACAACTCTGGCATCTTTATCCTGTAATTTTAACATTTCTTCTGAAGAAGCAATTTCATTAGCGAATGCCATTTGCAAGAATACTACTTTAACTCGCTTAGAAATTTTAAGAAATTGGCATGGTTCTAGATGGGGTGACACATTAGCTGATATTATTTACAAAAATTCTACTCTGACTTCTTTAAGAGTAAATTGTAAGCTTGGTCCTGAAAGAGGAAAAGCTTTAGCGAAGGCTCTTTTCAAGAACACATCTCTTACTTCCTTGAATATCCATAGTAGTCGGATTGGCTTTGAAGGAGGAAAATCTTTAGCTGACGCCCTTTACGAAAATAACACTTTGACTTCTTTAAATATTGGTAATAATCAACTTGGTCCTGAAGGAGGGATAGCGTTAGCAATGGCTCTTCTTAAGAACACTTCTTTGGTTTCTTTGAATATTAGGAGCAATCAGATTGGCTTCGAAGGAGGAAAAGCATTATCAGATGTTCTCTGCAAAAATACTACTTTGACTTCTTTAGATGTTAGTTATAATCAGATCGGTGTTGAAGGTGGAAAAGCTTTAGCTTATGCTCTTTGCAAAAATAATAATTTGAATTCTTTAAATGTTAAAAATAACCAACTTGGTCCTGAAGCAGGAACAGTATTAGCATTGGCTCTTCTTAATAACACTTCTTTAGGTTCTTTGAATGTTAGTAATAGTCAGATTGGTTTCGAAGGAGGAAAAGCTTTAGTTGATGCCCTCTGTAAAAGTACTACTTTGACTTCTTTAGATGTTAGTTATAATCAGATCGGTGTTGAAGGAGGAAAAGCTTTAGCCGATGCCCTTTGTAAAAATAATACTTTGACTTCTTTAAATATTAGTTATAATCAGATCGGTGTTGAAGGAGGAAAAGCTTTAGTTAATGCCCTTTGTAAAAATAACACCTTGACTTCTTTAAATATTAGTTATAATCAGATCGGTGTTGAAGGAGGAAAAGCTTTAGCTGATGCCCTTTGTAAAAATAATACTTTGACTTCTTTAGATATTAGTTATAATAAGATCGGTGATGCAGCGGAAAAAGCATTATATGATGTTCTCTACATAAATACAACTTTGAATATTAGGAATCATAAGATTGATTAATAAGAAAAAAGAGTATTAGCAGAGGCACGTTTAAAGAATACTACTCTGACTTATTTTTAATGTTTTTGTTTAAGAAAAAGGTGCAATCATTTAAAATAACTTTTTACTGTAATTGTTCAATTAGTTTAGCTTAAATGAGAAAAGCTTTAACAGATTGAAAATAGCTTTTTTAAACCTTTGTTATAATTAGCTTAGTTTTTTGAAGTAAACAAGCATTTATTAAGGCCTTTTTAAGAATATCATTGTGTTATTTTAGACATTGTAATCGTAATAGCAGATAATATTTTTTTTTTGAATATGAAAAAATATTATTATATTTTTATTTTACTTTGTCATTATTTTATCTAAATACATGCTATTATCTATTTCAGTATTTTTTAGTTTCACATTTTGTTAACTGACCTGACTTCACAGGTGCAGTACTAACTATAAAAAATTTGTTAAATCTTGGTTCATTGTTTTAAGTTTTAAATTTGCTATTTTTTATACTAATAAGTTATATTGATTCGATCTTTCAGAATATCAAATGTATTTATTTTTATTACGCAATATAAGTCTAATTCAGGAATGTGACTTTTGTTATCTTAAATACAAATGCAAAGCCTATTGAAATGCAAGAAGAATTTCTGCAAATTTTACAGGATTTCACGAAAGTTTTGTTATTACTTTTTAAAGCCTCATTAAATCAGCAGGCAAATAGAGTATATCGAGTAATGTGGTTAGACTATAATTATGAATTATATCGATACAATTCTATTTATCATTAATCTATTGATTACTAACGTTAATTTAATAAAAATAAAATAAATAAAAAATTATTGTGAATAATTGTCCCGTGAAAGACCTCCTTTAAAAAAGTTCTTTTAAATTACAAAAGTTACAGAATTGACAATTGTGGTTGAACGATGCCTCGCCAAAAAGTATTAATTGCGAAGAGGGCTTTGTTGATTAATCAGTCAGTTAAAGGAAGATTTATAAAAAGTGTAAAAAATGTAAAACTTTGGTTTTATAATAGACAATTTATTCATTTAAAAACATATATTATAATTTTTAACTTTAGTAATAAAAACAATATAAAAAATTAAATTAAATCGGTCAAAATACATTTCTTATAATTACGGCAATATTTGTAATAAAGGAATACATTTTTCTGAAACCAATCAGAAGTGGTAGTTTCAGTTTCAGTCAAATTTTAGCATCAGCTGCCGATGTTTTAAAAAAATTTTTTAAAACAATATAAAAACCGGGTAACCCGTTTTTTTACCATTCATATGTACGTACATGGAAGCGCCAAAGCGGTTATTCGATATAGAGTACGTATCAGCTAATTATATTACTTAAATATTATCGTATCCAGATTTATAGCGTACCTTATAGTTATTTCGAAAGTTTCTTAATATTTAAAGTACTGATATAAATTCATTATTAATCAGGATGCTTCGCAGTAATTTAATAGCTATTAATATCGATATCTAATACTGTAATATTTAAATTCGTTAGCAGCTACACGATTTATACACAGTCACAAAGTTGCTAATATAAATTATGCATATCGCAATAGATTACAAGAGATAACGTCCCCGAAGCTTTTCACAACGCAAATTAATCAACCTTTATCGTTTAGATACTTTCTTATGGACATTTTGAATATAATAAAACTGGCCCTGCAGAGATTGGACACTTTGGTTCATGAAATACTTCTTTTAGCAACGACATTGGTAGAGAATCTTTAGAGACTTTCTCAATGCGACTTCAGCTGCAGCTTTTCTAAGTTTAACTGCTTTTTCTTTCCACATTTTCATTTATTTCAGAATTCTTTATTATTTTGTCATAGCCGATACCAATTGGACCTATAACGCCTATGGCTCTAGAGGTTTTGGATGGGTTGTAAATGCGAGTGGAAGGATGGTGAGTTAACAGTTGTTTTCAAATGTATAAATTTGATCGAAATGAACAAAATTATTGAAGATTTTATTAATAAGATAATTATTTGAACTACTTAGAGCTTTTGAACTATCAAAATGGACAAATGAAACCTCTATGATTTAGTTTTTAATATTATAATGTTTCATTATCAAAATGACTCTGAAAAATTTTAAGCAGTAAATCACATCATTTCAATGCTTTAGCTTAATTACTATCTTAGAGAAAAAGAATGTTTATTTTAGATACAATTTTAGAATTAATAGTTAATTTAAATTTATATTTTGAAATATTTAAAATATATGTAAAATCAAATAAATTATTTGATCTTAATTTTAATAAAAAATTTATTAGTGCTTGAAAAATTCAAAATATAATAAATAAAGCTTGAAATTTATTTGATTAAAATCTTTATTTAAAGCAATCAAATAAAATTTTCGTCTAAACTAAATAATACAATATATGCAAAATATACGTTATGTATTAAAATATTTTTAATTTTTTGCAATATTAATTTTTTTTAGCTCTAATTTAGTCTTATTTTTCTGAAGCAATTTTTTCTATTTTATCAAATCTGTATTTATTTGGTTTGTTTATTACAGTCACTACCTATTAGATTTTATTTACTGTCTTTTGCTTAGATTGATTTGGTAGAATTTTTTTTGTATTAATTTGCAAAATAAAATACAATATACTGTATTATAATCCGTATTATAAATAAATTAATTTCGTTTAACCTATTAAGTCATCTATATCTATTTCAGAAATTGTAATATCGGATAATTTACTAGAAACAGCAGCCAAGTTAATAAAAAATAAGGGACACTTCAAGAACACGGAACCCCGTGATATTTTTGTGATCATCACATCACATATGAAGTTGTGCAATGACATCATTTGTTTACTAGCCCTAAAAAATTAGCCTAAACTAACCTATCACCTAACCCTAACACTAACCCTAACTTAGGCCAAACACTTAATCATGTGATGTGATGATCACGAAAATATCACGGGGTTCCGTGTTCTTGAAACTACCCCAAATACTAGTTACTAGTTAAAATACTTGATTCAGATAATAAGAATTCAAATTTTTTCAATGAAATTGTTGTAAATAACAATTAGAAAGTAAAAATAACGCAGAAAAAAATGGATGCATATTTATTTAATTAATATTTAATCAATTAATCAGTAAATTTATACAAAATAAAGCAAACAAAAACTACGGTTCAAAAAATTTCAAAGTGTTATAATCATAAAAATGTTGACTTTATATTTATTATAAATACGTAAGTAAAAGAAAAGTTATTTAATTAGTAGGGTTCTTTTTTCAAGATATGCAAACTTAAACTTTATATGTATCAATATCATTTAAGTAAATTAAATTTTAAGGTTATTGATCTATTCATAATTTAGAATATATGGTTGATCTGGAAATTAATAGTCGAGTACAAAATTGGACGATTCAAATTTACAATGTGCTCGAGTGATTGAATATCGAATTTGGATGTTGTAAAAAAAGTTATTTATAATCGTATGCTACGTATTTACTTTAATTATTATCATTATGAAGACAAGCATCATATATTTTAGCCTTCAAATTTTAAGTACATTACATTTATCGTCCAATAACAAATCATGCCGCTATGAAATATGATGAGTTATGTTTAAGCCATATTAGTCCTTTCAAGTTATAAAAAGGACGTAACTTGGTTAAGGTTGGTTATGACACTTATATGCACATAAGTTCACTAACTCGATAATAATTTCCTTTATATTATATGACTCAATCACCACCTTTGGTGAGCTGCCTTATATCACAAAGTCTATATTTTAAAGTATAGATTTTGATCGTACGACTCACCCGTAACGATAGATGTTCTGTAATTTACAGTGCCATCTGATGTTTGTAACAATCCTATATTCTAAACCAACACGGAACGAATGCTTTATATATATATTCGTACCAAAGTCAGATCATTTAGCTGGTTTTTGAACGCCACAGATGAGCTTCAGTAAACTCAAATTTAGAACTGATTTTAATCGAGAAGGTGCTACGTATACCAAAGTATGCCAAATCCTAGAAAGGAAATATCCAATCAGCGACACAATGCTAAAAAGAATAAATAAATTGAAAAAAAATCAATGTTAAATAAAATTTCTACGTATTTTTATTAAATTTCCTTTTTTATTTAAACCGGATCAGGTTCAAAACACTGAATTCCAATAAATACACATAGCACGCAATAAATGCACACATAAAATTAGGATAGCATTACCTAGTGAATGCCTTTTGGAAATATTAAAATACTTTGATCGTAAATGCCTATTGTCGTGCCTTCTTGTAAATCGTCAATGGTGTCCCTATAAAAAAAGTTTGTTACGTTTTTGTTCAGCTTTTGTCGGTATTGTTCAAAAAATGTTCAGAACGGAGTCATTATCGTAGTAAAGGCAGGACAAAAATCGTACATATTTTTATAATTGAAAAATTTAAAAATGTACAATTTTTGCTCTGTTTTTATACTATAATGACTCCATTCTGAACTTTTTTTGAACAATATCGACAAAAGCTAAACAAAAGCAGACAAACTTTTTTTATAGGGTGTAGACATGTACCGATATTGTGGAGCAGAATAGATAGTTTATAAATCAATAAAAACTTTATAAGAACATGTTTGTTACAGTTAAACACTGAGGAACAAGCATTTTTAATTCCATTTAATATAATACTTCTGAATTATCCAAAACCACTATTTGAATATACAAAATATATTATATAGTTGCATATAAATACATATAATTTATTTTACGAAATCAGTGAATTTTTCAATCAATTTGAAGAAAATGGAGTAGTTGCGCTTAGAACTATCAACTGTGTTGATATCAATGCTTTTACGAACTGGTGATAGTATTAAATGTATTGAAATTACAGAAGAATGGCTAGGTTGTATTATTTCTCCCAATATGAAGCTTTATTGAATTCTTTCTCCCAATATGAAGCTTTATTGAATTCTTTTAAAGATACACGTAATTTTATGATAAATTTATTATCAGACCATCTTTATGAAAAGACAACTCCGGCATCTTTATCTTCTAATCTTTACATTTCTCCTGAAGAAAAGATTTTTTTAGCGAATGCCCTTTGCAAGAATACCACTAAAGCTTAGCGACAATGGATTACGTTATGAAAATTTGAAACCATTGATATTAGCTCTCTATAAAAACATTACTTTAACTTGGATTTTGTAAGAAATCGGCTTGATTCTAGAGGAGGAGAGGCATTAGCTGATGTTCTTTGCGAAAATTAGCATAGCGGAAGTTTGTTTTAGTTGGCTAAAATTAAACTAAATATGATTGGCGACGATCTTTTTTTTATGCAGTCAATTGTAATTTTTAAAGTACTTTTATAAGTAAAAATTGTCATATCATATGAGTGACGCTAAGGGAAAATGGGACATTGGTTTATTATTGATTATTTGTTTAAATAATAAATGATTAACCAATGTCCCATTTTCCTTTGGCAAAACTCATGAGAATTTTTTTTTTTTGTAATACGTAATGTAGAAATCAACTTGAGTCGTTAGTATTTTACCTTGAGTTTTACTGTTTTTTTAATTTGGGATACAGTAGGATACAAAATTTCAAGATCTATGTATATGAGAAGCAAAGATTTTAAAAGATCGGAAGGTAGTTTGGCGACCTAAACAATTGGCGAGTAAGGTTGCAAGATTCTGTTTCTACTAGTTTTGCTTGCCTAATAAAAAAATACTATTTGAACTACATTCTAAACTGTAATTTTTTTTTATTATATTTATTTAGTAGTTTATAAATATTATACAACGTTTATAGTGGTAGTGGTTAGAAATGTTCGCGTTCTTGAATCTAAGTTTAATAATGTATTACGAAACTTAATTGTTTATTGTAAATTAATGTATTTATTACGAAAAGAATAATACTACATTGCGAAAGTAGCTATTATGAATCAAATTAATGTGTTGTAGACTATAATACGCGTCTTCAGAGAGTATTAATTAAATTTTTTTTTGAAAGTAATAATTTCTCGTCCGATACTTTATCCGGGGTACGATCAACATTTTTTCCGGGTGGTTTAACAACTAATCAAAATAAACTTCCGCTATGCTGCGAAAATTCTACTTTGATTTCTTTAAATTTACTTGGTGAATCAGCTTGGTCCTGAAGGAGGAAAAGCATTAGCAAAGGTTCTCTTCAAGAATACGTCCCTTACTTTTTTGAATATTTGTAATAATCAGATTGGCTTAGAAGGAGGAAAAGCTTTAGCTGATGCCCTTTACGAAAATGGTACTTTGACTTTAAATGTTGGTGATAATCAGTTTGGTCGATAGTGTTAGCAATGGCTCTTCTTAAGAGCACTTCTTTAGTTTCTTTGAATATTAGTAATAATCGGATTGGTTTCGAAGGAGGAAAAGCATTATCTGATGTTCTCTACAAAAATACTACTTTGACTTCTTTGGATATTAGTAATAATCGGAAGGAGGAAAAGCATTATCTGATGTTCTCTATAAAAACACTAACACTATTTTGACTTCTTTGAATATTAATAATAATCAGATTGGTTTCGAAGGAGTAAAAGCATTATCTGATGTTCCCTGCAAAAATACTACTTTAACTTCTTTGGATATTGGTTATAATAAGATCGGTGATGAAGGTGGAAAAGCTTTAGCTTATGCCATTTGCAAAAATAATACTTTGATTTCTTTAAATGGTTAAAATAATCAACTTGGTCCTAAAGGAGGAACAGTATTAGCGTTGGCTCTTTCCAATAACACTTATTTGATTTCTTTGAACATTAGTAATAATCAGATTGGTTTTGAAGGAGTAAAAGCATTATCTGATATTCTCTGTAAAAATATCACTTTGACTTCTTTAGATATTAGTTATAATCAGATCGGTGATGAAGGGAAAAAAGTATTAGTGGAGACACTTTTAAAGAATACTACCCTAATTTATTTTAATAATTATTATTAATTAGGTTTATTCAAGAAAAATTACAGTCATTTAAAATATTCTTACTGTAATGTAAATGATTTAATGTAACTTCTTTAAACCTTTGTTATAATTAGCTTAATTTTTGAAGTAGTAAAAGCTTTATAAAGGCATTTTTTAAAGAATATCTTTGTGGCATCTTAGATGTCGTAATTGTAGTATGGTGCCGGAAGCTTTAATCTCGGGTCACGTGACTCTATTCACATTTTTATAGATATTTGGCCGACAAACGGCCAAAAATTTATTTGGCGAAATGGCAAAAGTTTATATAATAAAAAATAGTAATACGATTGGCCAATATTACATAAATTAGAAAATTTTGGCCGAAGTTTGGCTGGTTGGCCAGTTGGCTGACCCTCAAAAATTGTTTGGCCGCAAAAATTGCCAACATGTCAGGGACACGGATTTTATGCGATAAGAATTTATAAATTATGCGTGCGGTATGTGTAATATATGCGATTTGCTGATAATTAAAATTTAAAAGTGCGATTTAGTGTTTTTTGCAAATTTTACTCGAAAAAAAAAACTTGCACTTTTTTAAATACTGCGCTCGACTATCAAATTTTTGAATCGGAGAATAAATTAATAAGCAAATTTTAATCGGAGAATATAAATATGACGTAAAATTATGCGATTTAGTGCGATTTGGTTTAATCACACTAAATCACACAATTTCCGTGTCCCTGCAACATGTATATAACATTCTGACATTAGCTGAGTAGACTAGCAGTAAACTTTAAATAGTTGAACCTAGGTGCCGCGTGGCAAATCCTTGATTTTGATTGGCTAAGAGCGACGATCAAAAATTAGGCCGGAGTTACTCATAATTTTACTAATGAAATCGCAGCCGCCCATTAAGTGAAAATTGTTCCTGGCCAATTTTACCATGATGCGGACTTATTTTTTAAAAATTTCTATTTTTGTAATGAAAAAATTAAATGTTAATTCCGGCCGGAAATTAGTAAAGAATTATGTAATGCGGTCAAAATTTTGAAGATCCTCGGCCGTTAGCCAATCAAAATCGAGGATCTGCCGCGCATTTTTTGTGCGGCACCTAGGTTCAATCTGACAGTGAGCGAAGTAAATGATGGAATCGCATGTATTCTTGTTTGAAGTGGTTTGGCGGGTCACATCGGGACTGTTGGCTCTGCTTCATTACCTTTAGTTTTTATATTTTACCTCTTCCTATTGTGGAGTCCGTTTTGTCAGGTCCGTTGCACCAGACATGTGTCAATAGTTGCGCTTGCATTTGATCTTCCCACGCTATTGGACTTTCACATGCTTTGGCTGTGCTGTGTGAGGTGGCGGGCGGAGGTGTCGCTTCTTCTTTCGATCACGTGATTACTGTCACATAAATTACAGCCATTAAATTTCTATTCCATATATGTACGTACGTTCCGGTACTAGTACGTACAGTACTTTGTTTCTATACTTTATTAAATTTCCTTTTTTTTTGATTATGATGTAATTTTTATTTTGGCAAAAACTCCGAATTCCAATAAATAGCAATAAATTTTTTTTTACTGCGCACACAAAATGAGGGTAGCATTACCTAACGAATGCTTTTTGGAAATATTAAAATACCTTGACAGTAAATACCTATTTTCATGTCTTCTTGTAAATCGTCAATGGTGTAAATATGTTGTACCGATATTATGGAGTAGAATAGATAAGTTTTTTATTAATAAAAATTTTATAAGAACATGTTTGTTACTGTTAAACACTGAGGAACAAGCTTTTTTAATTCCATACAATATAATGCTCCCAAATGATCCAAAGCCATTATTTGAATATACCAAA